CCTTTTATGGCTTGGAAAAACCTTTTTCATTCAGAGAATATTTAAAATTCTCCTGTGTTTCCTTCTAGCACTTCTCAGGTTTTGGTACTTACATTTGAATGATCATCTGAAATTTATTTGTGTTGTTATGTAGTAGCAATACTATATAATACATATATACGTGTGTGTATGTGTGATATGGGGGAACTTTTTAAACTTTTTTCTATAATTATTTAAAATCAGAAACAAGACAGGCTGTCCACTATCACTGTGCCTGTTTAATATAGCACTCAAAACATTAGCAAGAGCAATTAGACCAGAAAAAAAAAATAAAAGGGATAATGTATAAAAAAGAAAGAAATCAAATTATCATTATTTGCAGATGACATGACCCTGTACGTAGATGATCTGAAAAACTCTACCTAAAGACTCAGAATTAATAACCAAATTTATATGTAGCAAGATACAAAAATCACTGCACAAAAATCAATAGCATTCCTCTACAATAATAATAAACCCACTGAGAAAGAAATTAAGAAAAAAATACCATTCATAGTAGCGCCAAGAAAGATCAAGTAGGGGCCGGGGATTTAGCTCAGTGGTTCTGGCGCCTGCCTTGCAAGCGCAAGGTCCCGAGTTCAATCCCCAGTACCAAAAAAAAAAAAAAAGATTAAGTACAGTGGTACCTTGGTCCACAAACTTAATTCTTTCCACAATTCTAGTCACAAACCAAGTTGGAGATGAACTGAATCAAATTTCCCAATAAGATCAACATTGAATTTGATTTGGTTCCCATCTAATTCAGTTTGCAACAGAATCATGGAAAGAGTTAAGTTCGTGAACCTAGGTACCACTGAACTTAGGAATTAACCTAATTAAGGAGGTGAAAGACCTCTACAATTAAAACTACAACACTCTGAAAAAGGAAATCAGATAGGCCATCAGAAAATGGAAAGCTATGCTGCATTCCTAGATATGCAGAACCAGTATAATCAAAATACCCATACTTCCAAAATTGATATATAATGCAATCCCAATCAAAATACCAACATCATTCTTCATAAAACTGGAGAAAACAATCCTAAAATTCATACAGACACAGAAGAGACCCAGAATAGCAAAAGCAATGCTGGGTAACAAGAACAAAGTGGGAGGCATCACAATCCCAAACTTGAAGTAATATTACAAAGCCACTGTGATAAAAACAGCATAAGTACAGGCCTGGGATTTAGCTCAGTGGTTTCGCCGCCTGCTGCGCAAGCACAAGGACCCGAGTTCGATCGCCGGTACCAAAAAAAAAAAAAAGAAAAACAGCATAGTACTGGTACAAAAACAGATATGTAGATCCATGGAACAGAATAAATGATACAGAAATAACCCCAAGCATATTCGACTATTTGATTTTTGACAAGTGGGCTAAAAACATAAACAGGAAGAAAGCCTCTTCAATAAATGGTGTTGGGAAAACTGACTATACACATGCAGAAGATTGAATCTAAAAGACCCATATCTCTCACTGTGTTCTAAACTAAAACCAGAATGGATCAAAGAACTAAATGTTAAAACAGCGTTATGGCTTATATCGGGATGTCTCCCTAAAGCCTCATGCAATCATAGGTGGGGCTTTTCAGAGGTGGCTGGATCTCAAATGTGTGATGCTGAGATTAAGGGTGTGTGATTACTAAATTAGTCCACTGATTGATTTGGCATAGTTCTGGGTGTGGATAACGGGGAGGCCCATTCTGAGTGTGAGTACTACCAGCCTTAAGGGCCTATAGCCTAGACAGAATATAAGGTGCAGAAAGAGGGCTACTTTCATCTCTTGCTGTTTCACTACTTCGGGGCTTGCTGCCTTTTTTGTCTTCTGCCTGCCATAAACTGTTTCTCCTCTGGGATGCCCCTCTGCCATGCCACCCTGCCTTGGAGCCAGCTGACTATGAACTGAAACCTCACTAAACTGTGAGCTACAATAAACCATTCCTACTTTAATTTTGGCTGTTGGGTATTTTGTCTCAGCAATGAGAAAAGTAACTACAACAAACAGAAACATTTAACCTGCTGGAAGACAAAAAGGTAAAACTCTTGAAGCCATAGGCATAGGCAAGGACTTTCTGAACAGAACCCCAGTTGCATAGAAAATAGTACCAAGAATCAACAAATGGGATCATGTCAAATTAGAAAGTTTCTGCATAGTAAAGGAAACAACCAAGTGAAGAGAAATCCTACAAAGTAAGAAAATTTTTTGCCAGCTGTTTCTCAGATATATCTAGAATATACAAAGAACTTGAAAATATTAGATGCCCCAAAATAAAAGACCCAATCAAAAAATGGGCAAGTGAAATGAATAGACACTTCACAGAAGAAGTACAATGGCCAATAAATACATGAAGAAGTGCTCAACATTTCTGGCCTTTAGAGAAATGCAAATTAAAACAACACTGAGATTTGGTCTTACTCTGGACAGAATGGCTACCATCATCAACAAATCAACTAATAACAAATGGTGGGGAGGCCAAGGGATGAGGAGGATCCCTTTTCCATTGTTGGTGGGAATGTAAACTAGTACAACCACTATGAAAATCAGTATGGAGATTCCTCAAAAAACTAAATCTAGAGGGCCGGGGATGTAGCTCAGCGGCATAGTGCCTGCCTGGCAAGCGTAAGTCCTTGAGTTTGATTCTCGGTACCAAAAGCCAAAAAAACTAAATCTAGAAACTCCATTTGATCCAGTTATTCCCCTTCTATTTTTCTGAGAAAGTTAAAGACATCATATTACAATGATATAGGCATAGCCATTTTTATAGCAGTACAATTCATAATAGCTAAATCTCAGAAGCAACCTATATGTCTATCAACAGATAAATGTATAAAGTGGTATTTACACACAATGGAGTACTACTGTGTCATAAAGAAGGAATCTGGAGTCAATTGTAGGAAAAGGGATGCACCTTGAGACCATAATGTTAAGTGAAATAAATCAGACACATAAGCTTAAATACTGCATGGTTCCTCTTATATGAGAGATCAAAAGTATAAATAGCAAAATAAAAGATAAATAAAAAGAAATAGAGAGGTAGATCTTTCTCAAATGGGAAAGGGATCAAGAGATGCAGGGAGGAGGAGTACAGGAAGGGAGGGGACAAAAAAGGAATGAAGATGTGTTATATACAGGCACCAGCTCCACACAAGGTGCATGAGTATGCACTGTAAACATGCAGTAATAAATAAAATATGAAAAGTAAAGAGAAAACAGAAGAGTGAAGCTAGAGATCAGAAGAGACTGAAGATAGTATCAAATAAGGAACATACTTGCATCCTGATTAGATTTACACAAAAACATTTATGAAACAATCATGAAAATTTGGAACACAGGCAGGGATGTAGCTCAGCGGCACAGTGCCTGCCTGCAAGCATGAGGTCCTGAGTTCGACCCTAGGAACCGGAAAAAAAGAAGAAGAAAAAAATTGAAAACAGATTAAGTATTTGATAATATAAAAAGATACTTGTTAAATTTTTTTTTTTGGTACTGGAGTTCGAACTTGGGACCTTGCACTTGTGAGGCAGGCAGTGGACCACTGAGCTAAATCCCAGGCCCCTCTACTTGTTAATTTTTATAGATGTGGTGATTGCATTGTGGTTATATATTTTTTAAGTCATTTTTTTGTTTGTGGCTTTTTGGTTTTTTCTTTGAGACAGAGTTTGGCTATGTAGCCTGTGGGGAGCGGTGGTAGCTAAGGAGACTCCATTTTGAATCTTACCCTCCATTGTATGGAGACTATGTTATGAGGAACCGCATCCTTACCTAAATTGGATGTTTACCTTCAGAGATTGCCCTGGAATGTGATGAACGTTCTGTAGCCCCGAGAAACAGGAAGGCCCATGAAGGTGGGGAATTGCCAAGGGACTGGAAAGCAGGGAAGCAGGTGTCCCTGGATAAGGGTCATAATGTAACAACCAAACTCAGCTGTAACAACCAAATCCACCTGTAACAAACTCGGGGGTTGTATGAAAAGGGAAGAGAAAAATAAACTCGTAGTTCGGTCTTAGGAGCCCGGATGACTATGTCTTTTTTCTTTTGAAGTGTGTTTTTTCTTTCATCCTCACCCCTCCTCTCAGGTATTGTTCGACTAGTGACGGCGGGTCCCGTCAGTAGCCCAGGCTGGCTTCGAACTCACAGCAATCTTCCTGCCTCTGCCTTCTGAGTGCTGGGATTACAGCTGTGCACCACCATGCTAGCTCGGAAGACCTTAAAAACCTAGGAGTTGGAAGCCAGCTTGGGCTACTGAGCAACTGAGCATCTCTTTACAAACATCCACATCTCCAAATTCTCGAGTCAGGAGACGCGGCTTCATTCTGCATCCCTTCGCACGCAGTTCTTAGAGACCCACCTCTAAGGAACACATGGAAACCAGAGCGGGTGGCTTCCTGGGGCGGGGCATCAACTGAGCTGCGACCTTCGCTTGCTTTCTCTGTGGATCCCTCCTCCAGGGGAAGGTCAGCTGCCACTGGACGAAGATACACAGCAGCCCCAGGGCAGCCTTGGGGTGACTGAGGCTCTGGGTATCATCTTGCTGCCATCTCTCTGCCGTCTCCCTCAGAATCACCCAGCTGAGCTGAGCTGTTCCTAAAGTCCAGGCCCACAGGAGTTAGTTAACACACATCTGTTGTTTCAGACATTGAATTCTGCAGAAATTTGTTAGGCAGCGAGAGCATTTATTAGATTATTGGCCCGTCCACACAGGGGCTATGTAGCCATTAAAAATATTACTTATCATATGTATTTGAACAGTATGGAAAAAAGGGAAGGCAATGGGAAGAAAGCTAGATATCAAAACGTATATGGGACATGAATAAAATGTGAAAAAATATACATTCAGAAAAAAAGAAAATGGGGAAAATATTAAATAGTTATCTGTTGGTGACAAGGTTACAAGTTTTGTTTTTTGGTACTGGGAATTGAACCTGGGGGGTGCTCTACCACTAAGCTATATCCCCAGTTCTTTTTAGTTTTGAGACAAGGTCTCACTACCTGCCTTGAATTTTGAGATCCTCCTGCTTCAGCCTCCTGAGTGCTGGGATTACAGGAAAGTGACACCATTCCTAGCTGGTTTGTATCTTTTTATACTTCATTTTGTTTTGTGGTACTGGGAATTGAACCCCATGCTGTTGCACTAAGCTACATCCCCAGCCCTTTAAAAAAATTATTTTAATTTTTTTAGAACCGGGAATTAAACTCAGGACCATGCGCTTGTAAGGCAAAAATTTGTTATTATTTTGAGGCATTGTCTTGTTGAGTCACTAAGTTGCTGAACCTCTTTTAAGAGCACAAAGGAACCAGAGGGAGGTGAAAGGCAAAAATGGTGGAAAGAGAAATTTTCCCTTTTAACCCATTTTGGTAGCATCTAACTTGATTCTTCATGCTCTTAACTCAGGGGTCTGGGCCTGCTGCATTTGGTGGTCCACACTTCAGATTCTCTGCAGTTGATTCACATCTTTGCCTCTGTGTGATTTAAGACAAGTCACTTAACTGTGTTGTGTCTGAGTTTCCCTGTCAGATGGGGACAACGCCCACCTCCTGGGTTACTGTTAAGACGAGGACTATGACCACACGGGTCACACCAAACACAATACTTGGCCCAGCTGCTCCCCCTGCCTCGCCGCAGAAATCGCCTGTCCCATGCATGAAGAGCACCTCATCAGCAAACTCTGACCCAAGCACTCAGAATAAGCCTTCTTTGTTCAGGTAAAGTCTCCCTCCACCTGTTTGAATTTATCTGGGGCTTTGTTTAATTGTTTTTTTGATACAGGGTCTCGCTATGCAGCTCAGGCTGGCCTTGTACTATGTAGCCCAGGCTGGCCTTGAACTTGGGGTGATGCTCCTGCCTCAGCCTCCAGAGTGCTGGGATGACAGGTGTGTGCCACCACCTGTTAGAAAAATTCTGAGTAGCTTCCCAGAAATGTTTGGTTGGCTTTTTTAGGCCATCCCTACCAACTTCTTATTCGGATACTCCTCCCTTTCTTAGTGGCTTCTGTTAAAGAGTACTAACTTAGAAGTGACTTCTCTGTTGTGAGGACCAAGTTTCCAAAAAGACAATTTAACCTGTCTCCACAGACCTGACCTGAAACTGAAGAGCAAGCTTAGCCCACTTCTTACCCAACCCTAAGTAAAGCTATGGTTCTTGGAACCAACTGAGCCTTTGGGGCCGTCTTGGCAGGTGTGGGTTCATCTATCAACACATGCACATCATCCTGTGTTTGCTAAAACTCAAGTTTTGAGTATCCCCTTCCCTTGTGCAAGAAAGGATCTAGCACAGATAACCGGCCTACATCGGATCTAGGCACTGCCTTCATGTTTTTCCCTTTTCCAGTGCTGGGGACGGAACCTTAGGCCGTGCATATCACATGCTCAGCAATGGGTCTACTACTGAGCTACATCACCAGCCTTAATTCATCTTTAGAACCCAGGAGAGAGGTTGATGAGGATGAGCCAGACTCAAAAAAGGTGTAGACTCAGGGCCCAAGGTAGTAAAAGTCACTTACTCTGAAGTCCTTGCTCTAATAGAATCCTCTCACCTTTTTCTTCTTTTCCTGCTCTGTAATTCAGGCTGGCCTTGAACTCACTATGTAGCCCAGGCTGGCCTTGAATTCAAGGCAATCCTCCTGCCTCAGTGCTGGGATTACAGGTGTGTGCCACACCCAGTTTATTTTTAAGGGAGTAAGTCACTAGTGTTGTGTTCATTGTTGTGCATACTTTTTCATCATGCAAAACAGAATGCCTATTAAGCAACCATTGCTCTTTTTGTTCTCCACCTCCTACTCACCATTCTTTCTCCTCTGTGACTTTGACTACTCTAGATACTTCACATAAGTAATTGTCTCTGGCTTATTTTGCTTAGTATAATATCCTCAAGGTTCACCCATGTTGTAGCAGATGTCAGAATTCTTTCCTTAAAGCAGAGTATTTCATTCTCACTATATGCTACATTTTATCTGTTCATCCAGATAAACTTTGGGTTGCTTCCACCTTCGGCTATTGTGAATAATGTTATAAACATGGGTATGTAGGTATCAGTTTGAACCCTTTTAAGTTCGTTTTATTTGTGATACTTGGGATTGGACCCAGGGCCTCTGCACTGAGCTACAACTCCATCCCATTTTTATTTTTAGACAGGGTCTTGCTAAATTGCTGTCAGTTGCCCAGGCTGAACTCAAATTTGTGATTTCTCCTGCCTCAATCTCCCATAGTCCTGAGATTACATAAAATCCTTTGAATTCTTTTGGATATACCCAGAAGAATTGCTCCATCATATGGTAATTTTTTAAAGATCCTCCATACTATTTTCCATAGCAAGTATGCATTTTCACATTCCTACCAATAGTGAAAAAGTGTTAACAATTTCTCTACCCCCTTGCCAATGGTTGTTTCAAGATAGCCATTCTTGGGCTGAGGATTTAGCTCAGTGGTTTCACCGCCTGCTGCGCAGGTGCAAGGACCCGAGTCCGATCCCTGGTACCAAAAAAAAAAAAAAAAAAATAGCCATTCTTTTTTGTTGTTGTTGTTTTGGCTCTTTTTTTTGGAGTCAGGGTTTCCCTTTGCAGTTCAGGCTGGCCCTAAACTCACTTTGTAGCCCAGGCTGGCCTTGAACTTTTGGCAATCCTCCTGCCTCAGCCTCCCGAGTGCTGGGATTACAGGCCAGCTGAGATAGCCATTCTTTTGGGGGGCAGGGTACAGGGTCCTTTGCATGGTAGTGCTCTACTACAGTATTAAGATATACTCCCAGGCCTGGAACAACTATTCTAATAGATGGTTTTTGTTTTGATTTTTAGGTGCTGAGGATCTCAGCTCCGTCTTGAATTTTGTAACTACAGGAATAAATGTTTAAAGTACCTGGGTGTGGTTTGCTAACACAATTAAAAAATTTTTTGAGGGGGCAACCCACTTTCTAGTCCCTTCTGTCTCTTAGACAGCAGCTTTCTCTCAGTACAATTTTCCTCTTAAACTGAAAAAAAAAAAAAAAGAAATTTTTTTTTGAGACAGGGTCTCACTATGCTGTCCAGGCTGGCCTCAAACTTTCCATCCTCCTGGCTCAGCCTCTCGTCACTGGGACTGCAGGAATACACCACCAGGCCTGGCAACCAACACACTGGGACAGTATCTGTCACAGGATAAACTCAATATTAAGTTTATTAAATCAATGACCAATCAGTTTATAAGATGGAGGCTTTTTTGTGTGTGTGGTGGTGTTGGGGAATGGAACCCAGGGCTGCTCATGTACGAGCCAAACACTGCCACTGAGCTACATCCCCAATCTTGGAACGTCTTAATATGATAAGCTACCTGACTATGGTAACTGCTTTAACAAAGATCTAAATAAAATACATTAGTACCAAGAAGTGGAGATTCAAACTTTAAGGCTTCCCTTGACCTTTGCTTGAAGACTACGCAGGAAATGACATTCAACATAAGAGAGGGAACAGCATGTTCAAAGTTTTGGAGATGTAAAACCTAAAGACTTAGTATTGCTGAAGGTACAGGCAATGAAGCCAATGAAGGTGAGATTTTTGTCTAAAACATTTATCCTCTTTATTTTTCCGTACCGGGGATTGAACTCAGGACCTTGTGCTTATGAGGCAGGCACGGCATATAATCTTTTAAAAGGCGCCTTCATTTCCTGCAACTGTCTTATCAATGTTTAAGATTTATGCTGTTTCATGGTAGAGATTTTTAAAAACCTCCCCCCAACCCGTGTGAGGGTAATGACATAACCTGGATGCCAACAGTTCAGAGGCAGAGCTGGACCTGACACCCAAATCTAGGGCTCCCTCCACTACTCCAGCAGGACTTCACAGGCCCCTCTCTCACCACCACCTTCAGTCTGCAGAGCTGGAAGCCTGGGGGAAAAGAGCGGGACTTCGGCTTTCTTGAAGACCGAGAACTCCTCCTGCCCTCCTCCTGCAAGTGTGGTTGTTCCCACAGTGCTTTCCCGAGCACCTGCTCCAGACGCGCTCACCACATGCGCCTCTGCCACACATCTTCATTTTCCTGAACAAGGGCACTTCTGCTCTGGTTCCAACAGTTCTTCTCACGCTAATAAAAACAGTCTGTAAAGTTTAATCCAGAGTCCCAACCCAAAGCAATTGCAACTAAATTGGAAACAGATACACTATGAATGCAGGAACACTATTTATTAGATCAGTAATTCATTTTTAGCAATACAAGTACAGAATATATCACAATGCTGGTTACAAACATACTTAGTATGGTTTAATAGTTACAAATAATGGTGGCCACTACAAGTTGGTGAGAATGGTATGAAAGGTCATTTGACACAATGAGCTGTCTTCAAAAATCTATTAATGACCTTAGACATTTCTATAGAAATTACTGTGGCACTAGTAGTGGGGATTTTCATGTAAAGAATTTTAGTGATTTGTTTTTAATTATCCCATTAAGAGCTTTTTATTTGGAGCCTATTAAACTAAAATCCCCCTGTTGCTTAATAAAGTAGAAAAATAGTACTGACCTGGTAATATTTAATAAAATGTAGCATTCATTCACATCATAAAAGTAGAACTAAATTGAAAAGTTTTAGTTACCATGGCAACATATCTTCCCATAAAAGGAATATACAGAAATGAGTAATGTTACACAAATGGTACCTGCAATGGTTATTTTAGTGATCCAACACTTAACTGTGCACCATAAACCAAGTTTTCTAGATAACTATATATAGCATATATATTTAATCTTTAATTTTACTTTTGAAAAACATGTGCATTTCAACAAACTCACTAAGGCCACTCATGCTAGATACCTAGGATTGCAAGTAAGAATAGTATTATTTAATACATCCAAAAGCACACTCCTTCAGATCATCAAGATAAAACCAGTTTTCTGCCTAAAACATTCCTGAGATTTGTGGACTACTAGTGTTCAAGCTGGAGATTAATCTGAATGTCATATTTAAAAAAAAATTCCTAGTAACTTAAGGTGGAATACGCATTCAACTTTTTAAAGCAAAAGTAGAACTCTTCAAAGGATTAGTACTTAAAAGTATTTTTCCAGTAGTAACTTTGCCATACAGAAAAAGAAGTTTGGAAGCAACAAGGTTAGGAATGCTGGGGAAAATAAAAAAATAAGTGGGAGTTAATAACTGCTGTTACTTAGTAATTACTATCATCTTATCAATTTGTAGTTTTGGCCAAAAGCTTCAGTCATATTTTAGGCATGTGTTTACTGGTCGGCTTTCTGCTTGCACTATAAAGAGCAGCCAAATGGCTGGCACTCTCATTATTTTTAAGACTGCATGGGCTATACTTTTTTTTGAGATGAGGGTCTCCCTATGTTGCCCACATTGGTCTTGAACTTGTGGGCTCCAGTGATCCTCCCGCCTCAGCCTCCCGAGTGGCTGAGACTGTAGATGTGTGCCACTGTGCTCAGTTTTCTGTACTTAATTGTCACAAGATTATGAACTCTTCCTAACAGGCTAGGAACAAAGGTCTTCATCACAATGCAAGAACACCTGGACAGGGGTTGCTACAAAGCAGTAGTGAGTTCATTTTTAACCAAAGAACAGAGAGTTGATGGTTAAGAAGAGTTCTAATCCTCTTGGCAAAGTCAGCTTTGGGGGCCCATGAAGATTATGCTGTGAAAAACTCAACTGGCTCCACTACACAGAATCCGAGAGTGATTGACCACCCACCGGACACGAGCGAGAGCTCCCTGATGCCCCCAATTTGAGTAGCACCAAAATTTAGGAAAAAGACTGGGTAGAAGAGAAGTCAGGGAAGGATGAGACTGAAGGCCTGCATTTAACATTATTTCACTAACTAAACCTCCAGAAAAATTGTTTTATGTTGGCCAGGATTTCCTAACACACAACCCATTCACCTATGTAAAAAAAAATCTGTACAAGCTTCTGGTTATTGTGAGGTAAATTTTATCCTTTGAGTTTGTTTTTTTTTAAGTCATAAATCATGTGGCATTCATCTAACTTACTCCAAACATCCTCACTAAAGGAATAAATCCTGTACTTACACTAGGGCATCATTCATTAGATTCAGAAATAATAATGCTATGAGTCAGAGTCTAACATAAGACAGCAAAGTTGTTCTGTTTTTTTTAAGACAGAAATGTTTTAAGCTAGAGTGTAGGCATTATAACAACATTTATGGATATATAGGAACTACACTAAAGCAGTGGTGAAAGGAGAAGTGCCAATAATGATATTTGAAAACAGAAGAATAACTGGCTGCTACCTCACATCACCCCGTGATGCTAAGTGTCTAAATATTGTGTTACTTTATCAGAGTGTGAGTTAAGCTGGGTTCAAACCACGTTAGGGAGGATGAGGCCTTAAGTCATTTGCTTGATTTTATCCTAGGAAATGCTGTATGTGCACAAAACCAAAAAGTAAAAAAATAAAATAAAATAAAAAACTTCATGTGGAAACATAAGTTTCAAAATATTTATTAAAAACAATTTTACCATGACATTCCTATACCACAAACATACCACAGGATTCTAAATACCAATAGAGTATACAAAGCCTACCCTGAAAATATCTTTGGAGGTATTAAATATATAGGCCCATGAGGAGAGCTAAGTAACTTAAAAATGTTAGTCCCTGGTCACACAGACTACTACTTGGTAATTAATAAAGGGTGGCTCTTGGCATTAGACTATCTGGGAGGGGGACAAGCTTCATAAACTGCAGGGGTCCCAATTTATTCCTTCCTGAATTTAAAAAGAAAATAATTCAATCTGAGGAATAAACTCGGGTTTCAAAATCACAAAGTTATCATCGTAGGGTGTGGACTAGCTTCATTTCTTTAGGTAGAGTCCCCAATAAATCAGCTCCTGGGGACCTAAAAGCACTAACTCCTCAAAGACTGCAAACAGCAGTTCCAAACAGGGTTAAAGTTGGGAAGTTCAAAGAGTGTTTAAAATTTGAAATCTCCCATAACTCTTCTGGTACTCCATGTGACATTCATCCAATGTTCATGTTAAAAGAAAACCAAAATTCAACACACATCCATTCACCCACAGATTACTCCAAGCATTAGCCAGGAGCAGAATCTCTAACAGCCAAGTCATGAACCCCTGAAAATAGGGGAGAAACTCAGATTCTTAACTCTAGAGGCACCAGACGGGCCACTGTCATAAGAATTGAGGTAACAGCAAAAGACCTTTTAGTTTCTTGGTTTGCTATGAGTCACAACTTATCCAATTTGAACATTACCTCAACATTAAATAACCCACTGGCTTAAAAAAGAATTATCAAAACCAAATAAACAAATTAGTGAATCAAACATATCATTACAGGATTTTTCCATTTGATTCCCGGACTTCAAATACAATGACTCAGTGTTACTATTATTTATCATAAAAATGAAGGATTCTCTAAGAAGACTTATTTTTGGGCATTTATTTTCTATAATTCCCCCAAACCATACACTGATCTAAAATTCCCATCCAGACATGACCTATTTTTCGACTCCAGACAATATACCTACTAAGGGCATTTATGATTAGGATAACATTGAAAACGAGGATGGTGCCTGCAGCAGATATTTATACACTGGCTTATGGCATTGCCATCTGTGTGCCATGACTAAAGATATGCCACTGGGACTGCCAAATTTCCCTAGCTTGGTATCCATTATATGAACATCATTTTTTGCATTATCACTTTTCATTATATATCTAAGTGAAATCATTCTATTGATAAAGATATATGCAAGGGCTAAAATAATAATCTAAAGCCTCTGGTCCAAATAACCACCTTTTACATTAGGCTGGTCCTTTTTTAAGTTCTTCCTGGTCCTGTGAGCAAATGCTATTAGAGCATCTTGCATTGTTGTACCAAAAACAAACAGATGTTCTTTTACTTACAGATCACACTGGTCCAGCTCAGATGACCCTGACAGGCCTCCCTGTAACACAGCTCCTGAGTGGTCAGATCCATTTTTCTAAGTGGGGGCCAAACATACATTAGGAGGTCCTCTTTTATTAGTACTTGTGTTAACTCTTCTGTACTGCATATAAAGATTTTCCCCATAAAATTTCTTTACAATACAGTATTGAATACCTCCACATGGAAGAATTATATGTTAAAAAGTTGTTAAAATCATCCTTACATAATAAGAATGCAACTCTTTTAAACTCTTAAATAGTTTTATTTAGGGGTTCTTATTTTTCTTTCAGGCTTACTGCAAAATGAATTATTTTTTTAAAAAGAAAAAAAGATTCTCCTGTTGTTTGTTCTACTAGGCTGAAAATGTGGGCCAGACTACTTATACATGCGGTACATGCTGAATATAACTGAATATATGCTTATTCTACGGACACTCTGCAAGATAGGCATTACCCAAAATAGGGTCTTAATGGACTGGACCAGTGTTTCAATGCAAATTCCAGCCCTCACAAACAACATGGTTTTGATTTCACAGTATGAATTCCCTGGAATATGGGAAAAGGTAATTGGTTAACTGAGGCCATCCCTCAGCAGCTTGGTCCCTCGACATTCTGAGATATTAGGAAGGACTGCACCACTTCTTCAGTGGACTGGGGGCTGGTGTTGACGTCCTCAAGAGCATCGGTCACTGAATACTGCCGATCTCGCAACCGGTTCCAGTTAGACAGAACATTGTGATATTCAAACACTTTCTCATAATTTCCAACGGAGTTGTAAAGTTTAATGAGACCTCGGTAATCATATTCTAGTCCACTGTAGCCTTCACCAAAAAGTTTCTTCCCTGAAAGTAACCACAGGAAAAATGAAAGTTCAAATAATGAAGTAACAAGCAGCATTTTTTGTTAGTTTTTTTGATTTGTTTTTTGGGATAGGGTCTCGCTATGTGGTTCAGGCTGGCTTCAAACTCACAGTGATCATCTTGCCTCAGCCTCCCAAGCACTGGGATTACAGGTGTGTGCCACTACGCCTGGCTACAAGCAGTATTTTTTTCAACACAAACACAAGTTTGATTTTTTAAACAGGCTGGCTCAGGTTTATTCTCCATAAGAGAAGAGATTCTTGTATCAGCACCTCTCAACCCACTCACACCCAGGAGCTATCTCTAAGACTTTAAATTTGGGCTTCACTAAAATAGAACTATAAAATTTCATGGTTTTAAGGGAACCTATGACTTTTCTTGTTTCTTTCTGAGATTCAGGCTGGCCTTGAAGTCACTATTCACTATGTAGGTCAGGCTGGTCTTGAACTTGTGCCAATCCTCCTGCATCAGCCTCAATAAGTGCCAGGATTACAGTGTGTGCCCCTACACCCAGCCAGTTGTGAATTTTTTGTTTGTTTGTTTTTTGAGAGAGAATCTTGCTATGTAGTTCAGGGTGACCTTAAACTCATAGCAATCCTCCTGCCTCAGCCTCCCAAGTGCTTGGATTACAGTTGTGTGCCACCATACCTGGCTCCAGTTATGAATTTTTTTTTTTGTACTGGGGATCAAACTCGGGTCCTTGCACTTGCGCAGCAGGCGGTGAAACCACTGAGCTGAATCCCCGGCCCTCCAGTTATGAATTTGAAAATATTAATATTTCATACTTAAAAAATAATAAAGATGGAGAAGGCAAAATATAATATACACATAAATAAATGAATCTAATTGTTTCTTCAGAGACAACAAAACCACATGGAAGGGCGAGGAGGCAAGGAGATAATTTCAACTATGGTACTTTTTTTTTTTTTTTTTGGTACTGGGGATCGAACTCGGGACCTTGCGCTTGCAAGGCAGGTGCCGGAACCACTGAGCTAAATCCCCAGCCCAACTATGGTACTTCTGAATAACATGTTCTGGATATATACAACTTTCAGGCTAAAGACAAAGATTACTGTAAACAATATGGGACTCTAAGCAGTAGATTTTTCACAGACATATGGGTTAGCAATTTTGAAATTATGTGCATTTAGGATTGACTAAGTGAGTCAGCATATTATGGCTAATGGGAGACACTCACATATGGATACATGGTTTATGACAAATACAAGAAAGGGAAAAAAAAAGTCTTTTAAAAAATGGTCCTTGGTCAACTGTATATTCATATGGAAAAAAATGAAATGTGATTCCTACCTTACACCATAAACAAAAATCAATTTTAGGATTGTAAATCTAAATGTGACTGGTTAAAATTTCAAAAAGATGAACTCCTAGAAGAATATCTTCATGACTTTGGGACAGAAAAAGATTTCTCAAAATGAATACAAAAAGTGCTAACCACAAAAGAAAAAAAAAACAATGCATTTAATTACATTGAAATTAAGGATTACTGTTCTTTAAAAAAGACACTATTAGGAAATAAGCAGCAGAATGAGAGAAAATATCTGCAACACATGTAACCAACAAAGGACTTACCATATCTATAGTATATAAAGAATTTCTATAAATCAACTAGCAAATGATAAAGCCATTCACTATAAAAACAGGCAAAAGGCTTAACAGACACTCTTAAGATGATGGCCACAGTATCTTACTAATCCAATAAAATACTACAGAGAACTGGAAATTAACAAGTGACAGTGATATGTAATACCACAAAGGTATTTTACAATTAACATTCACTAAAAAAAAGTCAGACATAGACCAGGTGTAGTGGTGTACACCTGTAATTCCAGCAACCTGTGAGGCTGAGGTAGGAGGACTGCAAGTTCAAGTCCAGCCTGGGCAACTTACTGAGATCCTGCCACAAAATTTAGGAGGGGGGGCAATCTGGGAATGTATATTGGGTTCGATCTGCAGTATTGTGCAAAAAAAGGTCAAGAAAACTTAATTTATGTTAAAGTCAGGAGAAAGAAGGAGGAAGGTAAGAATAGTAATTGTACAAATAGTTGAAAATAACTACTTTTACCTACACTTGACACCTAGTGCCACACCTCTTACTACTACTAACTTCAACATCAAAAAAGCACCTTTAGGGCTGGGGATTTAGCTCAGTGGTTCTGCCGCCTGCCTTGCAAGCACGAGGACCCAAGTTCGATCCCCGGTAACAAAAAAAAAAAAAAAAAAAAAAAATCACCTTTACAAAAACTGCTCCAGATGATTTTTTTATGGTTTCTGGATATACTTTGCAGATCTAAACTCATTTATGTCTCATTAGAACATTTCCCTTACACAACATATAAGACATGCTGATTTCTATAATCAATTGACTAAGAAAATGTAAAGAAAACATACCAATTGCTATAGATCGCAAATAAAGTTTCTCAGCATTTTCATACTGATTCATGTCATAATTATATAAAGAAGCCAGATGTCCCACTGAAAGGGCTACTTCATAATCTTCTTGACCAAGAAGTTGCTCTTTAATTTGAATTGCTTTGATGTGCATTTCTTCAGCTTCCTAAAAAATAATTACACCAAATCAATCACTAAATTATACTTTTTCTTATGTGAACAATGTTTACCCAATGAGCAAGTCTTCTAAATGTCAAAGAGAGCTTATGAATGCCATAAGGTAATAGGTAAAGAACATACTATTGTAAGCTGATGACAGTTACAGTGTCCTAAACCAAAAGCAACATGAAAACTTATTTGAGTAATAAGTGTTAGAAGTTAACAGGAAAAATTAAGATTGTTAGAAGAAATGAAGACATTCTAAAATAAAATTATTTCTTTTCATTAACATATTCCAAAATTTTAACTGGTCCTTGGTTAAGGTATAAATTTCTATAGAAATACACTTTATTTTTTGTAGATTTGGTACTTTCATACTAACAAAATAAATTCAGGCTGAAGGACAAAATGAGTATTTTTGGCATTTTCATTCTTCCCTTATTAGGGCCCCAAAATGGACAACAGTAAGGATTTATAACCCATAATTCTAAGAGATTTAATGTAAGTAATTTCATTGCTACACTAATACTTTATTAATCAGCATACAATTAATTCCTACTACTAATATCTGATATTTTTTCCATACCTACTATGCACTAAGCATTCTGCCAAGAGCTAGCTCTCCATACTTAGCTAAGAAGTATGTTTGGATGCTAGGAATTTAGCTCAGTGGTTCCACTGCCTGCCTTGCAAGCCTAAGGTCCCAAGTTCGATCCCTGGTACAAAAAAAAAAGAACTATGTCTGGAATCCAAACATAACAATCATATTAGCCTTACTGATTTGACAGTCTCTTATCTTCTCATGGTCTTTATTCTCTAATTTTATGTGTACTTTATGTTGCTTTATACTAGCTGTTTTCTCACTTCCTTTGTGGAATAAGGTAGGAATACAATGAACGCATACTTTATTATTATTTAAGATTACTAAAAGTTTATGATTTGTGATTTATTTAGCAAGAGAAAAATGTAAAACATGTTTCTACCTTGAATTTTCTCATTGACTGATAAAGTCTTCCAAGGTTACCATAGTGTTTTGCAGTCTGTACATTAAATTCCCCAAAAGCCTTTTTAGCTAGCTGGAGTGAAGACAGGTGCAAATCATGAGCTTCTTGAAGCAGCCTCTGTTCGGTTTCCTTATTGTGACAATCAATTGCAATCTCCTCTAAAATAAGTGCTGAATAAAGAAAGCAACTAATTAGTATACTTTAAAGCCATTTACCAAGCCAATCAGAACATCTAGTTGAAAATTAAATGTAAATATTTATTGAATATATGATTATGGTTTAGAAATGGTCAAGATCAAAATATTCTACTTCATTTTATTTTTTAGTTCTTTGAGACAGGGTCTCACTACATAGTTCAAGTTTGGCCTTGAACTCACTATATTGCCCAGGCTGGCCTCAAACTCATGGTGATTCTCCTGCCTCAGCCTCCCAAGTGCTGGAATGACAGGCATGTGGTACCATGCCCCACAATATTCTACTTTAATAAACAGTATACTTTTGGTAGAGTCATTCTATTTAGTACAGTATAATGAATTTAAATTTAAGAAAAACGATATATATCAAATTGTTTTTCAGAACATTAGCTCCTATTTTAACAGACTGCTCTACTTTGCTAAAGAGAATGTTTTTTAAAGTGAATGTCAGGAAGAAACAAAATTTTTAAAGTTATGAAATTGTGTCAAGGAGTACCTAAGCACTTCTGAAAATTTTGAAACCACCCTTTATAAAACATAACCTTTAACCAAACACAACTAAAAGAACTGGTTTCCTCCTACTCACTTCATCTACAAAATCAGGACGGAAGACATTTTAATATCTAAGCTACATTCAAGACTTGCAAATTTCATCTCAATTCTTAAGAATATACATATTCTTAAAAAAAAAAAAGAATATACATATTCTTTTACCAGGCAATTTCATTTCCTGGAAAATTGTCAATGTGCACAAAGGCAGATTAAAAAGATATTTACATCATTGTAGGAGTTTTAAAGCATTAAAAAGCATGAAGTATTTTTAAAGGTTAGGAAAGAAAACAAAGGTTCAATAATAGAGATTAGGTTAAATACATTAAGAAAAAGGGTAATTACCTACATGTATTGAAATGGAAAAATGTTCATGATATATTAGTAAAAAAAAAAGTTAAAAAACTAACAAAAATTTTACTCATTTATAGTTATCTTATTTTCAAAAAGTCTAAAATAATATTCACCAAAATGTTGATTCAAAACTGATACAAGTTTGAGTAATTTGCTTTATTTTTTCTCTTTTCTATATAACTTTCTTGTTTTTTTTTTTTCCGGTACCAAGGATCAAACTTGGGACCTTGCGCTTGCAAGGCAGGTGCCGGAACCACTGAGATAAATCCCCGGCCCTTATATAACCTTTTTTTTTTGCAATCAATCATGTATTATTTGTGTAACTTAATTGTCAACATACAGGGAGAAAGCACTCCACCCAGAATTAAGGTAAAATTTATCCAACATGCTTGGATCTACAAGGGTGAACCAATCATATGACCAAAACACATCAAATCAAAGAGCACTGGGGATGATTATAAGAAAAATTAAAGACAATATTTGGCAAGAAGCTTGAAACACACAGGGTAACCTGATCTGAAGCTCAATTTAAGAATCCTTTGCTATAAACCTAAAACCAGAAGTGTATCTTTAGTTTCCTACTCATGCTACTATGCAATCATTTGTGTTAATTTCTTCATGTGTCAGAAGAAATTAATATATGCATGAAAGAAAAAAGAAAAAAAAAGTAAGGCATATTGACAACATTATAGGAGAAAAGTAAGCAATCTTTCTTTAAGAATCACTGGAAACCCTTAAGTGGAGCTGAGAGAATTGGTTACTGCTTAAGTAACCAATACATAAATGTATACAGTTTAATCTCACGATGTCTGAGAAAATAAATACCCCTATTTTCTGCCATGTATCATTAATTTCAAGTTATCTGAGACTAGATCACAAAGGGTACCTTTCACCCTCTTTGAAGAAGCCAAAAGAAGATGATCTTCAGGTAGAATGTGGGTGATGATACCAATAGCTCTTTCAGCATGAAATCTGCAACACAGATAGATACAGTCTGGCATTTCTTTCTAGTTACATATCATTGAGCATCTAAAAAATCACAGTTTAACATACGATACTGATAGAAAAGACTTCTAAAACTATGTAAGAATCATTTTTTTTTTTTTTTTTGGTACCGGGGATCGAACTTGGGACCTTGCGCTTGTGAGGCAGGCGGCGGCACCACTGAGCTAAATCCCCGGCCCGAGCCTACTTTCTTCTTCACAGCAGTATACTGACTTGGCATGTCTGGCTCTTCATTTATGGGCCATTTCACCAGATATATGGTAAGTTTGTCTTTTATCTGTCAATTTGTTTCAAACAACTTTCAGCCTCCTATCCTCATCTTATAGCTAATTCTAAATTTTCTCAAATATTCCTTCAAATTCATTACTTCTCTCTTTGGTTGTAATGATCTGCTCTTTAGCTTGTCTACTGAGTCTTAACGTTAAGGACTATTTTCCACTTCTAGCTATGGTATTTGTTTTATTTTTTGTAACAGGCCTTATAAAGATGCAATTCTCTGGTACTGCAAAAAACCCCACAAAAAACCAAAAAAACACATACCATACAATTTACCTATTGAAAGTATAAGAATTCAATGTTTTTTAGTATATTCACAGCTATACAGCCACCACCACAATCAATTTTAGGATATTTTCATCACTTCAAAAAGAAACTGAGGGGCCAGGGATGTAGCTCAACAGCACACCATCTGCCTGGCAAGTGAGAGCCCCTGAGTTCAATTCCCATACCAAAAAAACCAAAACAAAACAATAAACTGAGGCCCATTAGCCACCACACCCTGCTTTCCTCTAAGTCTCTAGCCTAAGTAATATCTATTTACTTCTATGACCTTATCTATTCTAGACACCTCACACATATCCTCAGCACCAAGTTTTCAAGTGCTCAACGATGTTGCAGCATATATAATTCAATATTTTAAAATCTAATCCAGGTATAGTGGCACACCTGTAGATCTAGCATTTTGGAGGTGGATACAGGAGGATCACTTGAGCCAAGGAATTCAAGGCCGGCTTGGGCAAGACAGCTAGGCCCCAACTTAATCAATCAGTCAGTCAACCAGCAAGCCAGGTGTGGTGGTTCCTAACACATGAGGCAGAGGCAGAATGATCACAAGTTTGAAGCCAGCCTCAGAATTTTAAGAAGACTCTGTTTCAAATTAAAATTTAAAAAGGGCTGGGGGCGGGGGGGTTCAGTGGATAGTATAGCACTATACTATAGTATACCATGTACCTGGCCTTAGTGCAATCCCAGTACTGCTAAGTAAATAAATAAAATAAGAGGTAAAATCTGTCTATTTTTCCCTGCAAATATTACTGATTTTTTCTCTTACAGCCGAGTCGGCAAATTATTTCTGTAAAGAGCTAGACAGTAAATATTTCAGGCTGCATTGGCCATACATTCTCTGGTGCAATAATTTAACTCTGCTATGGTGGCATAATAGCAGCAATAGAAAAGAGATGAATGAATGAGCACGACTATGTTCTAGTAAATCCTGAATTTACCTGCAGACCACAGCTTGTCAATCCATTTTATATCTTTAATCAACAATATATTCTTTGTAGGGCCGGGGATTTAGCTCAGTGGTTCCACCGCCTGCCTTGCAAGTGCAAGGTCCTGAGTTCGATCCCCAGTACCAAAACAAAACAAAACAACCAATATATTCTTTGTAGTATTCTGAATAAATTGGGTTAACTCAAGTTCTTAGGGCTCCAATCCTATTCACCAAATCTGCTTTCCCTCACAGAAGAAATGTTTCCTTATGCATTTTGTAATTTTTGATGGTAAATTCATTTTAGGTAACACTACATCTGTGAGATGCCTCTATGGTTTAAAGCTGATGGTTAATTACGTCCAAGAGTTTTGCAGGAGAACTAGCAATTAGTTCCACAGTGTTCTTTCAGATTTTTCGCAGTTTGTGGGCTCCGGCAGACATGACCCCAAACTCCAGAGCAGTAGAGTTTTGTAGTTATACATTCTTCTTTGAGGCACCTTTTTTGATGAATTGTGAGCTCAAGCTCAGATGAACAAGGTTCCCTGTCATCTCTGCCAATGGACACTTTTCCATCCCTCAGTCTGCCTTCTCTCCTACAGGCATGCCTGGATCTTGGCCTTGTGTGAGGGTTCCAACACACAGCCTCTTTCCTATAGGCTGAATGTCTCATAAACCTAGTATTATTATGGCACAATCAAGGTTATAAAAACCTCTAAGCTTTTCCTACCATCCCAGACTGCTTATACTACAGTTCCTGCCTTTGGATTTCAATGTCTGTTATTTGCTGTCAGGGATTTCTCCTTACTCTTAGAAGCACACCTACACATAAAAGAGATAATGGTTTATATTGTTCCATGTTTTGTGCAAGAAGTTTTTAGGTTCTTTTTATTTTTTTAACAGTAGTGGGTTAAATCCAGGGACTCTGCACTACGCTACACCCCCAGCCTATTTTTTTAATGTTTTGAGACAGGGTCTCATGAAGTTGTCCAGGCTGGGCTCAAACTCGAGTCCTCCTGCTTCAGCCTCCTCACAGTACTGGGATTATAGGCATGTACCTCCACTTCCAGCTGTTTTGAGATTTTTAAGTCTGCCATTTAGCCAGAAGTCATTGTATTACTAAAAGAAAAATTAATGAATGAGTTATATTCTATACAGAAATACACAAGTCTCAATATTAAACTACATGTCTAAGTGAATAACTTATAAATTAGTATGACATGTATTTAGGCATCCTCTTAAAAAGCTCTAGAAAGACAAATTCTTTTTTTTTGGTACCAGGGATCGAACTTAGGTCCTCAGCTTGCGAGGCAGGCGCCAGAACCACTGAGCTAAATCCCTGGCCCAAGACAAATTTGATATATAAAGTACATTACATACTATTGTATGAGAGAAAAACAAACAAACAAACAAACAAAACTAGCATTTATTCCTACACTGAAAAAGAACATGGAGCTTACAGTGCATTGTCAAATTTCCCAGAGCTGTACTGGTGAACATAAGAAGAGTAAGCCAAGTCTTCATGAGCTGTTGCTACATGGATATTTTTGCCACCAAACACTGACTGTCGAATGTCAAGGGCTGCCTGAAAGAATCATAAAAGTATTTAATAATACTGTAAACCTTTAGAAAATATCAATTCATTTAAACTAAACATTCTAGTAATTCCTATACCCAAACCCAAAGTTTTCAAGCAAGAGAGTCCTGCTATATTTAAGTCACAGAAGATGAGTCATCCACAAGACCAGATTTTGCGCTGGGTCTTTTTTTGGTACCAGGGATCAAACTCGGGACCTTGCGCTCGCAAGGCAGGTGGCAGAACCACTGAGCTAAATGCCTGGCCCCCCATAAGACCAGATTTTGTGAAGACTGAGTAGGAATTAAAAAGACAATGGCTTAATAATAATCATTCCTATCTCTTTAGAGTCACATCAGTGTTCTTCTCTATGTCCTTCTCCAAAAATAAACTGTAAAATCAAGACTACATTGTCTACAGCCATGGTACAATCATCACTGATCTGAGAATGACTATTATAGGGCCTAAAATTATTGCTGTCAGCTCTGGTCGATAAAAGGCAGCTATACCAATATTGTTACATCAACCACAAAAACAACCCATCATCTTGGCAAATGAAAGATAGAAAATTATTCTTAAATATGAGCCCACAATCCAGTCATTCCTTTCTTGACTGATTCTCTTTAATTCTTAACACTTTTTTAAACCTTCTAAGTAATACTTAGTAAAATGATGGTGTGTCCTATAGGAGGGGGAAGGGTTCAAAGAGTTATTTTTAGTGGTTTATATATTACAAACAAATACAGGTCAACAAATCAGTTTAGGGTGAAAGGAAGAAAAGGGTAACCATTAACATACCTGATAAATTGCAACAGACTGACAGATATTATCTACATTGAGTAAGTAGAACCCATAATCTAGCAATGTATCAGAATATTTTGGGTGTTTAGATCCAAAATGATCCCTATAAAAAGATACAAAACTATTAGAATATAAAGTAGACCGACAATTTAAAATGGTATTTTTAGTAACAATCACCTACCGTGCCAAATACACTGCATGTTTAATTAACTGTTCTGCCTTCTTAAATTCACGTTTTACTACACAAGCCTACAGACAAAGTGAAAAACTGTTAAAAAAAACTCAATTCATTAGTATGCCGCAACAAGTACAGTTTATATATCTGACTATAATAGTTAATAAAATGAAATCTTCAAACATAAATAGAAAAATTCTTATAATTTCTTTCCTTCCAAGTACCTGAAAATTTTATAAACACTTTTATACAAGTTAGGAAAATCATAAAGTTTAGTATTTTGACAGTCACTCTCAGTATAAACCTATTATAATAAAGTTACTTCACAAAACTAGTACACTATCCTTGTTAGTAAAATAAAATGGTTGCAGAAGGGTTTTCTATAGTATTTTCTAAGGTAGTTACCCTGGTTCTAGAGTGGCTTATGAAGATTTTTTTCATTTTCTTCTTTAATAAAATATTTTTTCTAAGCCTGTACTGCCTGATACTCCAGATGGTTTCCCATCCAATTGATAACCAGGACCAACCCTGCTCAGTTCATGAGATCAGCCAAGACTGGGGATGTTTAGAGTGGTTGTCCATCTACTCAATTAGTAATTTTCTGAGTGCTGGGAATATAGGCGTGTACCACGTCACCAGCTTTTTTTGGTATTTTGAGACAGGGTCTTGCTATGTAGCCCAGGCTGGCCTCAAATTCTTGGCAATCCTCCTGCCTCATCTCTCAAGTGCTGGGATGACAGGCCTGCACCACCATGTCTGGGTTCATGCCCAGATGCTGGGCATGGTCGTGCACACCTGTCATCCCAGCACTTGGAGGGCTGAGTTAGGAGGATCACTGGGAGTTCAGGCCACTCTGTGCTACACAGTGAGTTCAAGGCCAGCCTGAATTACATAGTGAGACTGTCTCAACCCCCTCCAACAAAAGCCCAGAATTTTATTGTTTTACAATATTTTGAACCGTGTGGATAACCAGGTTTTAAAATTCTAAGTATTGTTTGTACACAGAAATGTAAATCTTGCATATTATGCTGTCTTCATAGTACATGAATATTCAATGTTTTGAATTAATTAAAAAACAGCAATATCCCTTTTCCAGTGCTGATAACCTGAATATTTATGCTTCTGTTTACTTGTTCTAAAATGACTGATTCAATATTTTACATAAATATTGGAGTCTTTAAATCTACAATTTTATAATCTTTTTTTTCTAACTGAATTTCCACTAGTAAGACCAACTAAAATGGAATACTTAAATTTGAGAAACTTGAGTATATGGAAAGAGTAGATGCAGAAAGTACGTTAATGCTTTTAAGCTTTAGGACACCAAAGCTCTTTTTGTGAGATAGAGTCTTACTGTATTTCCCAGCCTGGCTTCAAAACTAGTGATCCTCCTGCCTCAGCTTCCTAAGTATGTACCCGGGATTACGGGCATGCAACACCATGTTCAGCCAAAGTAATAATTTTTCAATGCTTTTAATGGCTTCAAAGCCTTAATGCATTTATTTAAAAAATACGATGAACTAGAGAAAAATCAAAGAAAGATTTTCCAGTAGGTCACGTACTGCAAGCGGTCATGCTGTGAGACTACAATACTATTAACACTAGGCTATTCTTCCAGAGAAGTGACCAGAGCCCACACAGCTTTGGCCTAAGGAATTCAGGTTACTATACAAGTTTAAGAAAAAAGCCTCAAGCCAGAATAGTACCAAATTAGTACCAAATAGTACCAGAATAATACCAAAATGACCTGTATTTCAGCGATCTAAATCAATTAAACAAATGAAGTATTTTACAGGTTATCTTGGTAAAGGAAAATTAAAATTAATTACGTAGGTCAGACAATTTGGGTTAGAAATCGTGCTTCTAAAACTGAGCACAACAGAAAGTTGAGCTTGCTTGTGTATGTAGTATATATTAACTGGGTTACAACAAATTTAAAGCCTGTCAAGTTCTGTAATTTGTTTAATAATTTTAACATTGTATTCACCTTAGAAGCTTGCCTTAGGACATCCACCACAACTTTTACTGGTAAGCCTGCTGTAATTTCTCTCATTGCCTCAATGCACCATTTGTATGCCTAAAATAAATTTAAGAAGAAACAAAACTGTTATAAAATCAAATTGACAGTATTCACAAAATGAACAAGAATTTCTCATGAATGAAGTGAGTTTTCAAGTACTTAAATAAGAACACACACAAAATATGTACACATAGAATTTTCTGAGCCTAAATTTTCTTGTTAGTATGAATTTGTTAAATTACTTTCACTCTTAGTATCTAAAACATTTCAGAAATGGCATTTGCAGGTGTGTGACATATCCAGGAAATGACAGGCTTGTTCTCTATGTCCCAGAAGCCTTTGCACATAACATTCCATCTGTTTTACAATACATTCCCCTTTCCTCTAACCCCTTCACTCGCCTAACTTGTCTTTCAGGTTTCAGCCCTAGTCTAGCTTTCCTGTATTTTTCTCCCCTTACTGTATGTAACCCTTAATAATATTTTCTAATTTAATCACCTTTTGAATACTTAGTTTGTGCTATTGTTCTAAGCACTCCATATGCATTAACACACTTAACTGAAACAATAGTTCCATGAAATATGTACCATTATTACAGGGAACTGAGGTGCAGAGAAATTAAGTGGCAGGCAATGAGGCAGCATCTAGGTATGTAATGGGAAACAAAACAAAAAACAGCATGGGTGTGGTGGCACATGCTTATAATCCCAGCTACCCAGGAGACTGAGGTGGGAGGAATGGAACGTTGAGACCAGCCTGGGAAATTAAGCAAGACCCTGACTCAAATATTAAAAAAAGAGAAATCCTTCTATACTAGTCATTAGCAGGAGAAGAAAAGCAGGAGAAGTAGTCACTGCTATAGAGAAACAATTTCGTGAAGGCATTACAAAGGAGAAGGAGAAAACACATTAGAAAACAATCATCTGATGCCAGGGATGTAGCTCAGTGGCACCACACTTGCCTGGCAAGCACAAGGTCCTGAGTTCGATCCCTGGTACCAAAAACAATCATTTGTTCTCTTGTGTAAGTTTCTTTTTTTTCCAGTTCACTTAAGAGATAGCTATTTAGAAGTAACTGTGGTATAAAAATGAAATAAAAGCTACAATCACACTGAGATTTAGGTTTGTGTTTATAAGATACTAAATAAGCTTATTTTGTTCCCAAGTAATAAGATGCAGTCTTTAGAACCTGGTAGATCATAATACTGTTTTAAAATATTTATTGTCCTACCCCATTCTCATTTTGGGAAAATACATTTTCCTTCCAAATTAAGGACAAATATGAGGCCAGGGGTATAGCTCAGCTCAGGAGGAGAGCATCTAGGGGCTCGGGATGTAGCTTAGTGGCACCACACCTGACTGGCAAGCGCAAGGTACTGAGTTTGATCCCCAATACAGGGGAGGGGGGGTGTCCAAAAGTAGAGCATTTGGCTGGGTTCAGTCCCTAGATACGGGCCCCCCGCCAGCCATGCTTGGAGTCATGATTTCCTTCGGTCAATTAAAATATGAGCAGGAGTAAAATGGGTCATTTCTGGGAGAAAGGTCTAAGAGCCAGCTGTGCTTCTCATGATGTTTCTGTCTCTGTTCCAAGATTTATACTGGCCCAGGTGATGTGCTAAACTACAGTGGGACGTCATCAAAGTGCATATACAATGAAGTGTAACTATAGCCAGGGATTTAGCCCAGTGGTGCTGCTGCTTGCCTCGAAAGCACAAGGTCCTGTGTTAGATCCTTGGTACCAAAAAAAGAAAAAAACCCCAAAAACAATACAAAACAAAAAAAACCAGTGGCAATATATGAACTATTTTATGCAATAACAGAAATTCTTTAGAACAGTAGGAGGGTTGAAAAGAAATGACGAAAGACTGAGAGATGGCTAAGATTAATTCCTATGTAGAGACAGGAAAAGATGGTAGGCATCCAGAGAACTTGTGCGACAAGTGTCACTAAATCTGATGTTTACTTATTTATTTTTGTGAAGCCAGCTATCTGCACAAAAGTCTTCTACGTTGAATGGGGTTGTTTTTGGTGTGTAAAAATTAAAGGGACCAAGTTCTACATCTAAATTGATAAACAACTACACACACTGCACATAAGGACCTGCAAAACTATCCACCAACAGAACAAGTTCAGCAGACACAGGAACTCAAAATCAAAAATAAGCAGAACAGGGCCAGGGATTTACCTCAGTGGTTCCAGTGCCTGCCTCGCAAGCGCAAGGTCCCGAGTTCAATGCCCGGTACCGAAAAAAAAAGAAAGAAAAATAAGCAGAACAGGGCCAGGGATTTAGCTCAGTGGTGCCACTGCCTGCCTCAAAAGCACAAGGTCCCAAGTTCGATCCCCGGTACCAAAACAAAACAAAACAAAAACCCCCAAAACCCAGCAGAATATAAACTTCCTAAAAAAAGTAGGCAGGCTGATAAGAATTTTAGATTTTTACATGCTGTTTGATGCATTCTTATACAGATATTAAAAGGGTGATTCTAGCATCACAAACATCTTGCATCTATTCTAGAATTTCCTAGTTTTACTCTAATTGTAATTTTCCTTTAAATATGGAAATATGTTAGAAATGGAATGGGAAAAAAATCAAGATAGGGATAATTTTAAAATACAAAAACTAAATGATACCTAGCTGATAGCATGAAATAATGATGATACTGATTCTTCCATAAATAAAAGCAACCAAGCAAAGGAGTTAAAGCACATACAGATCACTTGTCAATTTTGTATTTATGACTAAAGCACCAATTTAACAGTAAAAAGCCAGGAGTGGAGTTATCTTTTTCATATGGCAATGGAAGGAAGCCAATGAAGTAAAGTATAAATACAATCCAGCTTCCCACTGAAATGAATGCTTTTCAGGTTAGGAGAGTTTATCCAGAACTATAAAGCTAATCAGAAGCATCTATTAACAGAGTATAACCATCAAAACAGTTTAGGCAGAGAAACAACTGGTCCAAGAGCCAGTTACAAGAGCACGGTGGCGCAGACTTGTTATCTCAGCACTCAGGAGGCTGACACAGGAGGATCGCTGTGAGTTTGAGGCCAACCTGGGTTACATAGTGAGACTCTGTCTCAAAAAATAAAACACAAAACAAACAAACAAAAAACAACTAGAAAACAGGTCTAGTTAAAAAAGACCCTATAACATACACACATATATATTTAAAATCCATGTTACAAATACTTTTATCTGAATTTAAGTATTTCATTACAAATGTGCACAACTTTTTTGTTTTTTTGAGATAAGGTCTCACTTTGTAGTCCAGGCTGGCCTTGAACTCCTGGCAATCCCCTCTCTCAGCCTACTGAGTGCTGGGATCACACACATGTGCTAACACATCTAGCCACAAATGTGTACAGCTTAAAGTAAACCAAGTAAGTGAAAATGAAATTTAGAAGACATATAATAGAAGACTATTTAATTTATTTTCTGGGGTTTTCTTTCTTTCTTTTTTTTTTTGTTTACTGGTTTGAGACAAGATCTCTCTACATAGTTCAGAGCACAGTGGCCTTGAATTCACTATTGTAGCCCAGGCTGGCATCTAACTCATGGTGATTCTCCTGCCTCTGCTTCCTGAGTGCTAAGATTACAGGTGTGCACCAACATACCTGGCTCATCCTGTTTTATAGGTACTTGGTGGACATGAGGAAATGTACTTCAAAACACTTACCTCGTCATAGTGACTTTTTGCAAACAGGAGGGCACACAGTTCTCCATAGAGTGCAGCCTTATTTGCTTGCTGGCCATGTTTTGACAGTTTATCCATGTATGTCTGTGCTAACTTAAATGTTTCTTCACCCAAATGATATTTGCAGTTTCCATTTCGTACATGAAGCAACCTACAAAACAACAAACAATCCTCTATTCCTGATAGTTCAAGCATAATGGAGCACATTACAACTGAAAATCACTAGGTAGCATCTAAATGACTTAACATAATATTGCAACAAATGAAGCAGCATCAGAAAAAATTGTCTGGCCCAAATAGGTGGGTAAATTCCCATAAGAAAGTATAGCACATATTCTTCCAAGAAAGCATCCCATGATTAATCTCATCCAGTTTTGAACCTGTCTTCTGAAAATATTTTGTATCCTTTGTGTACTCAGTATATGCTACATCTAAGAAAATAATTAACCTTTTTTGTTCCAAACCCCAAAGTAACAGTTTTAGTCTACCTTCTATTCTTATTTTTGTGTAAGATTTCCTTGGGTTTCTTGTTTCTGTTTTTTAGACAGGGTCTTACTATGTTGCTTCCTTGAGCTTGTGATCCTCCTGCTTCCCCTCTTAGTGGATGGGATTACAGACATGTGCAACCACATCATGCTACCACTGATTTTATGATGCTTCATAAATACTTCTTTGGCTGATTTTTCACTGAAAATATAGTAGCTATTTCTCTTATAACTTATTTTCTGTGGCAGAAAAAAAAAAACCACAGTTCTTTACAAAAAATAACTGTACAACCATGCTAACAATTTAATGATACTCAATAGTAAAATACTTTGGATCAGAGTAAAAGCTAGATAGCAATAGATTATATCGATATACACTATTCAAGACAGAATATGATGGGAATAAGAAGAGACGGGGGGGCTGTAAGGTGGGTAACAGATATGATCAAAATATATGCACTGAAAAAGAAAATATATGCACTGAATGCCTCTCCAAAATGTGAAAGTATGGGGAGGGCAGGGCAAGAAGAGCAATGAAAATGATCAAAGTATGGTATGTACACATGTGAATCTGACAAATACAACCTATTAATCTGTACAGCCAATATGAACTAATAAAAAATATGCTAAATAAAGGAGAACAGCATTAGGACTGGACAAATAATTTTGACTTGAACATTATGTTCATGTATCAGGTCACTACAATTTTCTGAAAATGCTTAGCTTGCGAAAGAGGTATAAGACATTTAAAAGAAAACTAAGTGGTTCCACTGCCTGCCTTGCAAGCGCAAGGTCCCAAGTTTGATGCCCGGTATCTCCCCCACAAAAAAAAGAAAACTAAGTTGGCTTGTGGTGTAGGTCAGTGGTAGAATGCTTGTCTACCATGCCCAAAGCCCTAAGTTCAATCCCCAGCATTACACACACACACACACGCACAAAAAAAAGTACGGAGAGGTTGGGAAGTATTCTTTAGGAGTATAAAATCAAGAGAAACTTAAAAAAAAATTTTTCTAGCTACACCAAAACTATTGTTAATTACTGAAAAGGAGAAAAAATTCAAACAATCATGATTACTCCTTTTATAGTCGAGGAAAACACAGTAACTTCAAAAGAAACTAAAGACCATGGATTAGAAAGGAGCAATCAATAAGGTAGTGAATATTATACAATACATTGTATATCCTCTTCCCAACATCCATCACAGTTATCTGCTTTTTGAAAAGAATAAAATCCTCAAACAAAATAATACACTAAGGTCAATCCAAACTTCTGGAAAATCATAATATTAAATCCAAATTAAATCTAAAATGCATGTAAAAAATAAGGCCAGGGATTTAGCTCAGTGGTTTCGCCGCCTGCTGCACAAGCGCAAGGACCCAAGTTCGATCCCCGGTACCAAAAAAAAAAAAAAAATGGTGAGGTGACTGGATTCATATTTATTTGTTTATTCATTCTGTGGTTCTGGAGATTCAACTAAGAGCCTTTAGTGTGTTACCACTTCAGCCCTTTTTATTTTTTGAGTAGGATTTCACTATCATGCCCAGGCTGACCTTGAGCTTATGATCCTCCTGCCTCAGCCTACCAAATAGTTGGGATTACTGATGGGTAACACTACTCCCAGTTTGGATTTTTATATATATATATATATTTTTGGTACCAGGGATCGAACTAGGGTCCTTGCACTTGTGCAGCAGGCGGCGAAACTACTGAGCTAAATCCCTGGGCCTGGATTTATATTTTAAAGTAGAAATGGAAGGACAAAAAATTATGTTTTGGCACACAGGTAACTTTTCATGCTAACAATGTACTGATAAACAATGTCAATTTGCTGTCAAATTGCTATTCAAGGTCACCCTAAACACATAGCTAGGCCATCTCAAACCCCACCCCCACAAAAACAAACCAACCATAGGAAAACCAAAACAAAATACAGGGGAAAAAAATCAGTTTTTAAAAAAAGTTCAAATGATTTTTTGAGAGACTGTCATAGTCAAGTATTAATTGGTTACCTATTATGTTCTGGTCAGATTTTTAGGTACAAGAGCGAAGTGCAAAAAAGAATCTATGGCCATAAGACACTTACATTCTAGTAGGAAGAAAGGTGGCAGGGTAAATAGAAAAACACACAAATAAGTAAGAATTTCATTTAAGGATGTTATGAAGATGGTAAAATTGGGTGGTAGGGCCAGTGATTTAGCTCAGTGGTTTTGCTGCTTTCTGTGCAAGCATTAAGGACCCGAGTTTGATCCCCGGTACCAAAAAAAAAAAAAATTGGGTGGTGGTGGCGGCATTGTTCCAAATAGAAAGGAAATCAAGTGCAAAGACTCTTAGAGGGGTAAAGTACAGTGTAGCCAAAAAAATAGAAAGGTGGCCAATGCATGTAGTATATTCTTTTATTTTTTTTGAGACAGGGTCTCACTATGTAGTTTAGGCTGGCTTTGAACTTGCAGCAATCCTACCGCCTCAACCTCCTGGGTGCTGGGATTACAGTTGTGTGCCACCATATCTGGGCTATACCACATTCTCAATAAAGGATTATGAAAAAGAAAAATAAGAAAGACCATAGAAAGATTTTGTTGTAACAATAAATGCAAAGTTTTGATTTGACATCTAGAACAATGTTAATAGAATTTCCTGAGATGTTAGAAATATTCTCTATTTGTGCTGCTCCATTTGGTATCCACAAGTGGCTACTGAGCATTAGAAATATGCCTAGGGTAGGGCCGGGGATTTAGCTCAGTGGTTCCACCAGCTGCCTTGCCAGCACAAGGTCCCAAGTTTGATCCCCAGTACCAAAAAAAGAAAAAAAGAAATATGCCTAGGGTAACTGAAGATTGATTTTGAAATTTTAATTAATTGAACTTTAATTTAAAATTAAATAGTCACATATGGTTAAAGGCTACCATGTGTGAGAGTGCAGCTCTAAGTAAAGACTGGCCTAACTGCAAAGTGAAGAACAGATCACACCACAGGCAAGAGTGGAAGCAAAACAACTAGGACAGAAGATATTCTGAGAATCTGGGAAAAAATAATCTTTGAGAGAAAAAAAAGGATTAGTATTAGTAATAGAGATATGAATGAGAAAAAGGAGAAACTAAGCCAAAGTTGTAAAATTAGAGAATGAAAGACTAGGGCTCACTTCTCATTTGTACAATGCTAAGAATTGTGTTCCCAATGACCTTCATCACAAGGACTCCCTAAAACAACAATTTCTGGAAAGTATTTAGTAATCGGCATATGATGAGGTAACCAAACATTTTATGCCAGAAAGGCACAGCTTGATATTTTGTCAAGTCCCTGCTGGTTGTCTATTGAAACAAGGGCAAAGTAAACATATGGACACCCTTCAGGGTCTGTGTGTCCATCTGGGCTGACACTAAGAAGGATGCAAGATCTAAGAAATTTTTTGTCCAACTGGTGGTCTAATTTTATCTCAACATTTAGCTTAATAAAAAGGCAGGTTGTCAAGGTTCCTCCATGGGGCTACCATGGAAGTGTAGCATTTTACCTGATAAACAGCTACTCTAAACAGCAATTACCACTTAATTAATCAAACTCTTCATCATTTGAAATGGGAAATACACAAATTTAGAAATCAAGAACATTATGAATATATTTACTATAAGATTAAGCAAGATGTCTAGTTAATCTACATCAGACAAGTGACAATAATAAATATACTGAAAACAAAGCTAGGGAAAAAATCTTTCATACAAGTGTCTTTTTCTAAGAATTCGTTAAAATTTTTGAAGAACTAGTTAAAATTGTTGGAAATAAATGGCTGGGGATATACTCAGTGGTACAAGTACTTAAAATGTGTGAGGCCCTGGATTCAATCCCTAGCATGGAACAAAAAATTTCTGAAAATAAAGGACAGAAAGGAGAGGACTGAATAATGAAAAGAAACTGATATGGGTTTAATGTTTTCCACTGTGGGGAGATATATGTAATATTTGCCATCTTTTTGTTTTGTTTTTTGAGACAGGATCTTGCTATATAGTTCAGGCTGGCCTTGAACTCACTATGTAGCCCAGGCTGGCCTCAACTCATGTCGATCCTCCTATCTCAACCCCTCAAGTGCTGGGATTACAGGCATGAGCCACCATGTCCAGCTCATACGAACCATTTTTTTTGTTTTTGTTTTTGCAGTACCGGGGATGGAACTCAGGACCTTGTGCTTGCGAGGCAGGTGCGGTGCCACTGAGCTAAATCCCCGGCCCTACATGAACCATTTTTAAGTGTAGAATTTAGTGACATTAATTATATTCATCATGTTATATAACCATCAGCACCATCCGTTTCCAAAACATTTTCATCATCCCAAGAAACTAACCATTAAGCAAGAGCTTCTCATTCTCCTTTATTCCCTGGTAACCTTTAATGTACTTTCTCTGAATTTCCCTAGATATTTCATAAGTGGAATCATACCAGTTATCCTTTTGTGTGTCTTTCAACTCACTTTGGATATTTTCCAGGCTCATTCATTTTGCAGTATATATTAGAACTGGCTGAATAATTTCACACACACACACACACACACAACTGCTTAATGTATTCCTATGCTGATAGATACTTGTCTTGTTTCCACCTTTTGGTTCACGTAAGCACTGGCATACACATCCTCAAGTTTCTCCTTTCAATTTTTCCAGGCCTGTACCTTGGAATG